GGCTATCATACCCTCAAGCTGAGTCAGACGATCTTCCTGCTTGTCATTAGATTGCTGGATGTCCATCACACTGACTCTGTCCTCAGGTAGGTCAGTCTCTTGCACAGTCAGGCTCTTATGTGCCTGTCGGACTGGGTGCGGTAGGTCAGTTAGCAGGTGTTCAACATGCCTCGACAGAGCATGAGCTCTGTATGCAGACTGGGTGAGGACTGGTTTGTGACAGTCTTAAGACCGCGGAGGCTGCAGGGTTAGGTCCTCTCGTACAACACTGACAATCATGCAAGATTCTAACTTTCCCATCTCAAGCTTTGCTGCTACTTGTAGTGGGTAGAAGGCGTGTTAAGTTTTTCACTTTGGCGTGATTCGCATGCCTTTGTCATGCTTGGCCTTCAGGTTCTATTATACTTCCCTCCAAAATTGAGACCGGGACCGTGATTGTAAATAGTCAGCCTTCTTCAAGCATGTCACGGTAATCTCCATGAGGTGAGGCAAGGGATGCAGGCTAGGAACAGTAGTCAGTTCGGGCTTCTGTTTTGGCTTAGGGAGAGATGGGGGATGGAGGACCTCATCACCAAAGAGAGTCTTGCCTCGAGCTCTTTTGTGAGCTCCAAAGGCAAAATGGGTCTTAAGCGGGGACTGCAAGAGGGTACTCTTAGGGAAGACCTTCGGGTACCAGGTCTAGAGTGGTTTGACCGACGGAGAAGGGATGAACAGGGGAGGAGATGGCCATCAATGACCTTTCGGTCGTGAGCATGAGGCAGTCTGTGAGGGTGGAACATGTGCACCCCTCGATCCGGGCTCGAGTAGCAGGTCTGGCCTTAGGAGGCCAAGTATCGTGAGCATGTATGCATGAGGGAATGGCCTTATGACCACCTCTCATGGAATGCACATATGTGCACTGAGAGGGACGAAGAGGGGTTCATCTCTTGTGTGCTCGGGTAGGCGCAGCAACAGTTTGCCTCGAGCGGTGCGAAGCATATGAAAAAAGTGCACAGGGTTGGGTCTAAGAAGACCCGAACCCTGACAGTGGTTTGAGGTATCTATGAAATACAAAGAAAAGGGGAAGGAGTATATATTGAAGGGAATTATATCCAACAAATAAGAAGTTGTGGGACCCAACAAGGTGACAAAGCATATGAGAATTTAAGGTCGTGCCTATCTTCTCCAATTGTGCAACATGGACGTGGCTACAAGGTACCCAGACATTGATCCACGTTTCTAGCAACACATGGATAAGTTTGCATTTGTTTTTTAAGAACCAAAAGGACTCCCTCCAACTAGATCTCATGACCACCGAATACCCCTTGTGGATAGAGTTGCACCAATTTCAGTTTGACCTTGTAAGTACCCTTATTTTCAAAAGTCTGAAATTAAGAAACTAGTTAAAGAATTGCTTTTGAATGGTGTTATTAGGCCAAGTACCAGTCCTTTTTCCTCACCAATACTGTTAGTGAGGAAACAAGATGGGTCATGGTACATGTGTGTGGATTATTGTGCCCTTAATCATGTTACAGTTAAAGGCTGGTTTCCAATTCCAGTAATTGATCAATTATTATATGAGTTGTATGGTTCCCAATTTTTACAAAGTTGGATTTGTGTTTTGGTAACCACCAAATCCGAGTTAGAGATGAAGATGTGCACAAGACAATATTTAGGACTCATAAGGCAATTATGAGTTCCTAGTGATGCCTTTTGGGCTCACAGATGCCCCTTCCACTTTTCAAAGTTTGATGAATGAAGTGTTTAGGCCCTATTTAAGCAAATGCTTGCTGATATTTTTTTATGGCATCCTTGTGTACAACCACTCCTTTAATGATCATTTAAGCACTTAAAAGTGGTGTTAGAAGTCTTGTGTGAGAACAAGTTGTATGCTAAGGCTTCTAAATGCTCTTTTGGGTGTTTTGAAGTTAATTACTTGGGCCATGTGTTTTCTAAGGAGGGTGTGGCAATCGACTAAGACAAAGTGCGGTGTATGCTTAGCTAGCCTAGACAAAATTCCCTAAAATCCATAAGGATTCCTTGGGTTGATCAACAACTATAAGAAATTTGTACAACGATACAGCAAGATTGCAGCACCATTGACTTCCTTGCTCAAGAAGGGCTCTAGGGGGTGGAATGACATGACAGCGAAGGTTTTTGAAGAGATTAAGTTGGCAATGACACGTGCACCAGTCCTTGCATTACCCGATTTCTCTAAGCCATTTGAAATTGAGTGTGATGCAAGTGGTGCCGGCATAGGGGTTGTGTTGATGCAATCATCCAATAGCTTCTCTCAGTCATGCCTTAAGTGGAAGGAATTTGTCTCTATCTACTTATAAGAAAGAGTTGTTAGCAATTGTCATCAAAAGAGTCTAAGGTTTTGGCTCAATCAAGGTTACCACCCAATCACAACAACGTTGGTTGTCCAATCTCATGGGCTATGACTCTGATCCATTCTAAGAAGGGACAAGAAAATAGGGCTGCATATGCACTCTCACTGGTGCAAGGATGAGGAAATCTTGGTGAAGTTTTTGTAGTCTCTTCATTGGTAGCCATGTGGCTAGATAAGGTAAGGGAAGATTCCAAAAGTGATCCGTATGTGTTGCAGCTGAAAAACAAGATGGTGAAAGGACTCATGGATACGACTTAGTAAAGGAGATTGAGGGAATTTTATGGAGGAAGGGAAAAATTGTAGTGGAACCCACTTCAACACTTAAGAAGGAGATTTTTGAGGAGCTGCAATCGTTTCCAATAGCTGGAAATTCAGGTATCAAGAACTCTATTAGATGTGTGAAGCAATGTTTTTATTGGTCATGACTCTCAAAAGATATACATCAGTGGGTCCAAGAATGTGATGTATGTCAGCGTGTGAAGGTAGAAAACATGGCCGATTCCAGAGAAGGTATGGATGGATATATCTCTTGATTTTATTGATGGGTTGCCTATTTCAAGTGGGAAATATGTTGTTCTTATTGTAGTTGATAGGATGCTCAAGTATAGACACTTCCTCCCACTTTATCATCCCTATACGGTAATATCAGTTGCAAAGTTATTTTTTGAAAAAAATTTCAAGTTACCCGAGATGCCATCCAAGATTGTGTTTGACTGGGACTCAGTCTTCACTACCACTTTTATGTCAGAGTTATACAAGCTCTAAGGAATTAAACTCTAGATGTCAACCGCTTACCATCCCCAGTCAGATGGGCAGACTGAAGTTCTCAACAAATGTTTAAAAAATTATTTGAGTTGTTTTGTGGGATAAACCCAAGAGTTGGGTTTGGTGGGTTTTGTTGGCTGAATAGTGGTATAACATCACATATCATACAACCATTCAAGCTACTCCATTTGAGGCCTTATATGGTGTACCACCACCCACCTTATTATCTTACATACCACGGCAACGAAGGTTCATGCAATTGTAGATGAGCTCAAAGATAGAGATAAGCCATTGAAGTCATTGAAGGAGAATCTCAAGGTGGCCCAGGAGAGGATGAAGATCTATGTTGATGAACACAGATCTGAAAATGTCATTTGAAGTTGGTGATTGGATGTTCCTAAAATTACAGCCGTATGGACAGGCTTCTGTTTTTGCATGGAGATTGTTGAAGCTCTCGACTAGATACTTTGGATCATTCAAGATTTTGCAGAGGGTGAGTCTAGTTGCTTACAAGTTGGAATTGTCAGTTGGAAGCAAGATTCACCTAGTTTTCCACGTGTTTAAACTTAAGAAGAAAGTGGGAAAACGGGTTCAGCCGTGCTCTACTTTACATCCTTTAACTGAGAATGGTAATCTCCAACTTTATCCAGTAGCAGTGCTTGCAGGAAGAATGGTAAAGAGATGAAATGTAGAGACATCGAAGTCCTTATTCAGTGGCAAGGTGTGTCAGAGACTGATGCTACTTGGGAGAGCTGGAAAACCATAAAATGGAAGTATTTAGATGCTAATCTTGTGGATATGATTAATTCAAGGGGGGAAGAATGATATTGGTAAAAAAAATGATAATATATAATCGTGCGTTTTTGTGGAGTCTTTAATGGATGTTGTTAGCTACAAAATAGGAATGTGGGTAGGTGTTATAACCGTGAGTCTTTGTGAAGTCTTTACCAGGTGTTGTTAACTACAAAATAGGAAGGTGGGTAGGTATTGTAACCGTGAGTCTTTGTGGAGTCCTTGTAAGTATGGAAACTAAATCCATGTAAGGCATCTTGAAGTAGTTTCTCGAGTTTTCTAATGATGCAATCTCTCTTTTGAGATTATCTCTTCTTATCTTGAGTCCTATTTGAGCAGTGTTCTAACATCATAGTTCGAGGAAATAAGAGAAACAATTTTAAATTTCAATCTCCAAAATCTAGACACATCAAATAGACTCCGATTTGCAAGCAACCAGCTACCCAAAAAATCCCTCAACCTTTGCTATTCTCTGATTTCACCTTTGAAACTAGAGCACTGCTGTGGATAGGTGATAGAGAGAGAAAGGGGGGTTGGGGAGAGAGACGCAAGAATGTGAGGGAGGGTTGGCGACAAAGAGAGAAAGAGACTATGAGGTAGAGGGATTGGGGGGGGGAGATGAGATTGTCGTGGGTTTGGGGGAGAGAGGCGAGAGAGTGAGAGGGAGAGGGTTGGGGCATTGAGGCAAGAGGAGAGAAAGCGATACGGAGAAGTTCAGGGGGAAGAATGAGAGATAGTGATCGAGATAGAGAGGTTTTGGAGAAAGAGAGAGGTTCAAGAGAGAGATTTAGATAGAAGCATGAGAAGTTTAAATAGGAGGGAAATATGTGTTTATTTTGTTTGGACTAAGAATGTATGAGTAAAAAGGTTTATTTGGGTTTAGGTGGTTAAAATATACAAACGTTTGAAACATTATAAGCGTAGAAAGTTTTTGAAACCTTTGGTTGTTGAGAAATAGTTTCCTCCAATAGGGGGCAAGAAGAAATTTCCCCTTCTTTAAACTGCGTACGATATTACCGAACGAATTCCAAATGTTAGGGTGCCACAGGCATTTTTGTCAAACGAAAGGGCATTTAGTCATTTTCTCCATGGAGAAACCCTTTGTGAAGCGCGTTAGGGGTGAGAGACGAGTGCGAGAGTTCAACTTCAGCCCTTGGGAGCGGCTAACAGAGGAGCGATGAAGATCTTCGTGAAAACCTTAACTGGGAAGACCATAATCCTAGAGGTTGAATCTAGTGATACGATAGACAATGTCAAGGCTAAAATTCAGGACAAAGAGGATCTCTGTCTCTTTTTCTCAATCCATTATTTGTGAAGCAAAAATTTCATTTCTTTCTCAGTCTATTATTTATGCAGCAAAAATTCCATTTCAAACCATTCATTTTTGTTCAAATCAGCCTGTAAATTATATTAAATTTGCAGGAATTCCTCCGGATCAGCAACGCCTGATCTTTGCTGGAAAGCAGCTTGAAGATGGTCGCACTCTCGCTGATTACAACATTCAGAAGGGTGAGAAATTCAGCTTTCTACTGCTTCTTTCCCCTATCTTTTTTGGTGATTCTTTCACATTTGTATCAATCTTTGTTTTCTTTTGTAATTGTTTGTGAAAATTTTGGCTTTTGATTTGCAGAGTCCACTCTGCACCTTGTTCTGAGGCTTCGTGGTGGAATTATTGAGCCATCTCTAATGGCATTGGCTAGGAAGTATAACCAAGACAAAATGATCTGTAGAAAGTGAGCACTCTTTGCATCGATATGTATTTTGTTATTTGTAATTTTTGAATTATCTGTTATATTTTCCTGCAAATATTATCAAATGATTCTATTTTCTCTATATGTGGACATATTATATCATATGTTCAAAACCTCCTTTCTGAGATGTATCTCTTCATTTGGAAAATTTCTTCGGATAGTGGTTTGCTGTTGAACGTTTATTCCTGTAAGGAAATGGGTACCTTTCTTTGTGTGTCCTTTCTTTATCTAGATAATTGATATTCTGACCTATATCTCCGCTTAAATATAAATAAGAATTATTCTCCAAAGCCAATAGAGGGAACTGTGAGATTGGAAAAGCCGTCATCAGTGAATCTTTTTCGGAAGTCTCGTTCTTTATCTGTGTTGTGCTCTGTTTCATGGTGTGTGTTATTGTTGTACAATGGATAATTATGTGTTGTGTGATGTTAATTTATTCAGTACAGTTATACTCATTTTTAATTGTTTAAGGCTTTGCTTGTTGATCATTGGTTGGGTTGATATCTTTATTGGTTCATGCGGCAAAAGTGACAGTTATTTGGTTAATCTGCACCTACTCATGCAATAGGCTTTGTCATTGATTAGTGTTGTGTTAGCTGGATAGCATAATGTATCTGGGCCAGTTTAGGATACTAAATGCTCAGCTGGTGAACCTTGAGACACATGCATTCTCACTGGAATTACTCCAATTTTTATGGTTGTACGATAGTACTGGTTTTTTTCTCTTATAAAAGTGTCTATCAAATATGAAACCACATAAGAACCCAATTTTTTTAAAGAATCAAAACATATGATTTGGTATTTTTTTGTGCACTAATTTGGTATTTTTTTGTGCACTTGTGAATGATTCATTTACGATATTAGTCCTTTTCATTCTTCTCTGAGCAAGTGATATCATGCTATATCCTATTTATTTTGAATCCTCTATGTATTGATATTATCATTTTGATTCTTTAGAAAGACATTTGTTGCAACCTTGTGGGTTATGAACGTTATAGATTGTTTGGTCATAAGAATGAATGTGATGCAGATAAAAATTTGCCTATCTAAAAAATTTAAATTTAAATTTTAATTTTTTTATGGGTTATAATTATTATTTTTTGGAAGTGGGAGGTGGGAATTGAAGGGGGATTTGGAATCTTCTTTTTTTTCTTGGTGTAAGTTTCTTAAGGAAGTAGGTGGTACGCTTTTGTTTTTGGTAAAGCTTATCTTAGGTTTATCCTTTAAAATCCATTTTATTAAGTTTGTGAAAGAGATAGAAGTTTATCTCTTGGATAGGATATGGACTTGAGGTAACATGAGCATAAGGAAAGAAGTCCTATTCTTATGGACTTAGGATTTAGAAAGAGATTTTGGGGGCTCATGTTGGATAAAGAGAGATTCACGCGAGGAGAGAGAAAATAGGGAGAGAAAGAAAGAGTTTGATCTTGTGGAAAGATCTTGGAGTAGACTCCTTTGTAGACCCAGAGAGGGTATAATCTCTCAAACCTTTATTTTAATTTTTATTTTTCTGGTTTATTATTTTTCCTCACATCATAATGTTTCATAATTAACTTTAAATATCTAATAACGTTAGATTGAGGTGAGGAAATTTTACAAGCTATATAGAACTAGTCATCAACATAAAATTACTATTGCTCAGTTATGCGTATGACTAAAATTTTGTTAGTCATGAATTATTTAGTGAGGTTTATTTGGAGGCCAATATTTGGGTGAATTTTTGCTTCACTTACACGAATACATGGTTTCATTATAGCTGTAGAAATCATAATCCAACATAGAATTGTTAACATTGCTTCAAACCATGGTCACCAAGCACCTAGGGGCCCACTTGGGTGCTAGGCTGACTCCAAGGACCACGTAGGTGCCGGGTGGACCCCAGGGTGCACACGCCAGGCCTATGCCTTTTTTTTAGAACAAAGTTTCCTAGATGGCACTTTGAGTCATTTTGACTCATGAATTTTTCATAAAAGGCCTTTGGGGTATTCTAATTTTATCATTAAATAGGAAAAAATATCTTAGATTTTTTCTAAGCCTCAAATTTGTGGACTTTTTTTTTGAGTTTTTTCACTAAATTTTCTATGATTTGAAGTTTATTCTCAGCGTGCGATATTTTTTTATGAAAAAGGTTACTTACAATACATATAAATGCAAAAAATTGCAAAGTTAACATAACTATATGCATATATATGCGTTTGGACAACACATATGCATATATCTGCATAATTTTCATTGCAGGGTTCAAGGCTGCCACCTAGCATTTTTTGAAACCTTGATTGTTAGAAAAGACCACGTCAGACAAAGTGAAACTATAAAATAATAATATGAGATAAACTTGTTAGAATAAGCCTCCATCTTGAATTTATAGGAGAAGTTTCAAAAAATGTATCCTTGTTCCTATGGAAGGGGTAAGCTAGATAAAGTTGTCTGTCTCAGAAACAACAATTTTAGATGAACTCGGGATTTCCTGAAGGTTGAGTTGACTCGATTTGCCATGTGTTGCCAAGAATGATTCTTGTAGTCCAAGGTGGGTTAAACTGGGGCAAATACAAAATGAGTCAGCACCAACTTTGGTCAATTATCAAGGTTGCAGAAGGGTTGTTTTGGGAAATTTGATATTTGAAATGGGGATGGGGATCCATTCTATTGTGGTAAATGTAATAAATATAGCTTCCATGTTCTTGTTTCAATTTTGCTTTGACCAGAGAGATCAAATAGTCTGACACAAAGCGCTAACAAATTTTTTTTGCTCAATTCTTTGGCCTATTTAACAAAAGGAAAGTGGGAAAGATGTATATCCCCTCTTTAAAATCATAATCCCAAAGAGCTACCCGAGTCCATGAAAAATCCATGGAACCCTCGAAGTTAAAAAAACAAGGATGTTTAACCCCCCTCTCTTTTTCATTGTCCAAGTTACAACATTTACCATTTTTCTTTTTTTCTAATTAGCCCATCATATAAATGGAATTCGATATGCCTCTTTTAACCTAATTGTGAAGTTCATGGAATGATAGAGTGCCATGAGAGAGAGAGAGAGAGAGAGAGAGAGAGAGAGAGAGAGAGTAGTAGTGTGGTGGAGAGAGAGAGGAAGGGAAGGAGTATCTAGTAGTTAGTAGAGTATATAATAAAATAAATAAATAATATATATTAGTAGTAGAGTAG